ATTTCCACACAAACAATTTGTAGCACATTATGCACTGATCCTATTGCTGGAAGTAGAGTATTTCCATATGCTTTGAATATTTTCATTGTTCGTTAGAGTTTGTTTCCTTTGATTAAGGCATAATAATTTTTTGATATGGAGTTATTGTAACTTGTTAATGCTTGCATCAGACTAGAATGAGTAATATTCATAACTCTTTGTGGTCACAGAAGAAATTAATAAATAGAAGTTATTTTGTTAGTTTGCTGTTTGTTTGTGTTGATGTTCATAACCTTTTTTTTTTTTTTTAGCGTAACATATTCCTGGAGATTATGAATTTACAGTGACTTAGATTGCTGGCTCTGAGAGACGACGATATCATAGAGATCTGTTAGGCAACCCTACAGAGCTGCAAGTATTAGGCCTCAGCGATAACAGCATACATGGAAATATCCCTGAGGAGTTTGGTAATCTGTTGAATCTCCAAAAAAATCGAGTGAATATGTAATTTTGATGCATGTATATTTACCTTCTATCGTTGACTTGGGCATAATCTGTTCATAAGAGTCGCCTAAAGACAGACTTGCAATGAAAAAAAGTTGTATTAGCGTTTATATCTAAATGTGCATAACTAGACTAATGAAAATTTTGTCAGTGCTACAAATTGTTATGGTTTGTTTATACCATAACAAATTTATATCGAAATGTGTTTATAGCTAAAGATAGACCGATAAACACTATTTTTTATACCATAACAAATCTAAATGTGTTTCTACCTAAAGACAGGCTTATAAACACTATTACATTGATAATTAAGCACTATTTCTTGGGCTAAATTAAATTGGGTTGGCACAGATATTTATCATTGTAATTAATAGTGTTTATAAGTGCGTTCTTTTTAACTTACGTGTATGCGCTTGCTATTGTTTATAAGGAGATGTTTGTTTTATCAGTCTAAAACACAGCTGATAAGGATAGTTCCTTTTTTGTCTTTTTCTTTTTCTTTTTTATTGGGTCTGACTCTGTTAGATGTGTAGTATTTTATGCGTTACCAAATAATAGTCAAAAGTGTAAATGTCATTGTTTGGGGGGAAAAATTAAAGAAGAAATGAGAATAAACGAATTTGTATTAATCTCCCTAACTGATTTAGGTAAAGAATAAATACAAACTCTCTTTGTAATTTCTCTCTAACTAACTTAGAAAAAAATTATAATTCTTTTTTATCGGTTTCTCGATTTACAAAAAAGAGAATGAATCGACGAAGATCATTTCCTTTGTTTAATATTGGGTTCTTCTTGGTGGGGATGAGAGTTTGAATCTTGTATCACGTTAACGATCCGAGCACTTCACTTCGTGGAGCGTGGTCTATTCCTCTTGACTTGATGTCGGGAAGAACTTGCAATGTAAGTTTAGTGTTTGTGGAGAAAGTTGTTGTATTCATTGCTGTACTCATTACAACTTCAATCGTTACAATGAAACAGAAAAAAGATAGTCTTTTTATAAGACTCTTACACAATGAAAACAAAAAAAAAAGATTACAACTCCCTTCAAACAAACGCAAGATCCTATTTTGCGGTCTCTTGCTTGCGTGGGTCTTTTGCCTGTGACGGGGACGTCAATATCCGTGGACCACCTGGCACTCAGATCTGTTCCGAAAAATCGGACAGAGCTTCGTCGATCCGCGTGAGATCTAGAAGCCTGAAGCGTCTATCTCGGCTAAAACGAGATATCAGCTCTTCTTAGTAATTACCGGCGAAGGGTAATACTAAGGAAAAGGGGGAAAAGGTGATGAAGAATCTGATGAAGACCTCTCTTCCTCGGTTGAAGCGCTCGACCACTCTTCACTGCAGCAGGGCTTCGCCAAGCTCTCCAAAAATCCAGATCTCAAAAAATGAGGCCTAAGGGGGCTATTTATAGGCAAGGGGAGCACCTAGGGTGCCTAGACACCCCTGGGGTGTCCAGGAAAAGCCTAGACACCCTAGGGTGTCTCGGAATTTCCGAGACAGTTTGTACCCTCTTCAGTATTTTGGCTCTAATTCTTTCATCCGAGCTCGGATTTGAATGATTCAAGATGTATTGGAAAACTGACAAAGAGAGCTACAACTTTTCTGTTTTGAGTTTCTTCAGATTCTAACGGGATCATGGTCAAAACAGCTCCACAAGTTCCGAGACACCTTTGGGTGTCTCGGCCAGGTCCGAGACACCTTTGGGTGTCTCGGCGCTATTTTCGTCATAACTTCCTCATATGACCTCCAAATGATCCGATTATGGATTTGATGGAAAGCTGACAAAAATATCTACAACTTTCCTGTTTTGCATTTCTTCAGATTCAAAATGGATCATGGTCAAAACAGCTCCACAATATCTGAGACACCTCGGGTGTCCCAGTTCAGCCTGAGATGTTCCGTTATGCCCGTTTGTTCGTTTTCACCGTAACTTCTTCATCCGAACTCGGATTTGAACGATTCAAAGTACGTTGGGAAGCCGACGAGGTGTTCTATAAGATCCAATGATTAGATCATCTGTTGAATGCATGAGACACGAAGGGCGTTGTTCCTTTTGTAAACATCACGGAGTTCTGTCAGCTCACGTAGTTCGTCGGTTTACTTCAATCGTTCACCGACGTCAGTCGAACTCCTGTGAACCAGATAGTAACATTCATTATCGTTCCTTAACACTGAGCTGTTCATGGAGACCTATAGGCAATTTTCGATGCCTACATTTAGAACTATAAATGAGTTTGAGAACTCTAAACAAGTTTATGAACTCTGGACGAGTTAATTTTAGAAAGAAAATTAATCCTTTTTAATTAAAATCAGAGATCAAACTGATCTTTCAGTTCTTCATCCGAGAACGGTTCAAAAGCCAAGGCAAAAGCTCTCAAAAAGCCTTAAAGATGATCTTAAAGCTCTCCTAAAAGATCCGATCCAAAAGCCCTTTTCTTCCTCCACTTTTTTAGCTAATTTTTCAGCTATTTATAGGGGTTTAATGGGTGTAACTGACTCCTTAAATCGCTTCTTAATGAGTGTTTAATACCGTTAATTCGTGGAAACGGTTTTGGAACCGTTTAAAACGTGTTTGAATCAGTCAAACGCGAGATTCGCGTTTTGGAAACGACCCTCGCGTTTAGAACTGAAAACGCGGTAGTGAGCTCCGCGTTTTGAACTTGGAACGCGGTGGTGACCTCCACGTTTTGAGCTTGGAACGCAGTGGTGAACTCCGCGTTTTGAACTTGGAACGCGGTGATGACTAACGCGTGTTGAACTTGAAACGCGATGGTGAGCTCCGTGTTTTGAGCTTGGAACACGGTGATGACTTCCGCGTGTTGCTTTGAAGAGATCATCAACTTGTAATATCTTCTATTAGAGTGTTGCTATGATTGTCATCTAGTAATCCTGGCCTTTAGCTCTTTAAGATGTGAGAGTCGTCAGTTTGTAACTCTCGTTTGTTGTTGCGAAAGTTGTCAGATTGTAACTTCCATCATCAGTTGTTGTGAGAATCGTCAAATTGTAACTCTCATTGATTGATATGAAAGTCATCAGATTGTGACCTCCATCATTTGTGTTTTGTAAGGATTAGCTATCTGCAGTGATTTTTAGACAGCATACAGTCATTCATTATGGTCAAGTTATATTTAGATGTTTGTGAATCAAGCATTTGTCCTATTCCTTGTGATAACTGACATCATATTAATTCTTCATCTCATTTTACTCAAAATGAATTACATATTTTACTCAAAACAAACTACAATTTTGTTGATGTATGATATCACACAGTTGATAAGGGTCTTCCGTTGATGGCGTGGGGCGGGAAGATGAAAGGTGGGGTCGGCTTCTTCTCCGACTTTATGCCCGATCCTGAGCATTTGGGGTGGACTGATGACCTGCACACTCAAGAAACGTAGGAGTACGGGGTTAGTTTCCCCCGTAGTACCTCCGACGATCAAGTTAGCTGGTGAGCTTGAGGGAGGTTTTTTGGGAGGTCCCTGGGCCATTGTGGTCCTTGCAGGGGTTTCCTCTTCTAGAGTTGTTAAGGAAAGAAGGAATAAAATTCTGGTGTAAGGAGATGCAGAGATCCAGCCTCCCTGCTCTTATCTTCCTTACCTTCTTTTATAGCCTCTCGCCTCTAGGAGTTTGACCTTCGGCTTTTGTTGACTATGCACATGAGGCGGTTGAAAGGTGAACAGGCGGGCTACTGAGTCATCCTTCTCCCTCCAGGTGTCGGCTGGCGACTGGAAGAGAAGTCATTCTGGGTACATGAGAGAGATGTCTTCTCAGTATTCTGGATTGGACAGATACGACGTGGCAGATGATAAGCTTGCTGCTTGGTCGGCCTTCCTCCTCTAGATGGCGGCTAGTTATTGGAGGGGAAGTCATTCGAGGCTTGGAGAGCATCATGGTGATCTCTGGGAAATGACTTGTGAGTGGAATGTGATTCTTGTCAGAGTGTGGATCTTGATGGGACTGGTCAATGTTGTAGCGTTGAGTGACATCTGAGATGGATTGGGCTGGATCTTATCCCTTTATCGGAGGCGAGTTGGTTTGCGAGCCGTCGTTTGTATTCGGTCGTTTCGACAGTCGAGGGAACTTCGAGTCGGGTGTATGGCCGAGATGTCTGCTCGAGGAGTCGTCTTAGTTACGAGGGACCGACTGGTCCCACACTTCGTGTCGGCAATGATAATCCTAGGTCGAAGATGACTTTTCTACTCGGCTGGTAGACAGATTTGCCCTTGGCTGGGCGTCCTGGCCTCAAAGCTGTTTTGGACTGCCTTTCTTAAACCTATGTGGTCAATCTTTCGACATTTCTATCTTTAGATGATAAATTATCATAACAAATTTTATACTGAAACAATAGAGGATTGTGCTTGAAAAATTAGACTAGATCACACGAAGACATTCCTAATATGAGAAACTTTGTTAACTCCTAAATAACAACAACGATATATATATTACATTCACAAATAATATCATTACATTGATTCAATAAAAACGTTAATACACTCCATGCATCATCATTTACACTTCATAATCGATCCCCTGAACAACGTTGAGCGCTAGCTCTACCCCCCATTTAACTGACTACAAATTGAGATAAACCTTAAACACTCTTTACACTTCATAATCCCAAATACTCACCAACAAGTAATCATGCATCCTTCACCAATCAACCAAATCGACAACCCACCCAAGATGAGAAAAATCAGTGTACTTCTCGTCCACCGCCTCTCTTGCAACCCCCACACTGCCGCTCGACCCTTCTTCGGCCGCCTCTGCGCTCGACGAAGGAACGGCAACACCGCCGGATTGTCTCCGCCGGCGCCGTTGGTGGTGGAGCCTCGCACTTCTTCGCCTTCTCTTTTGCGGGCGCTGCCGCTGCTACCGGGCCGCATCGGTGGTGCTGCGCGCTGCGCGCACCGCAAGCAGTGGTGCGCTCCCTCCGGCCGCAGCTGCTCGGGCGTGTGCGCGAAGAAGCAGACTTTGCGAGGGCAGAGAACTCCGGACTCGCACACCCTTGTCCGAAACCTTGCACGCAAATAACATATTATCTATGGGCACGGTATCGTATTTCATCTGTTTTCTGTTTTGTTTTTTTAAAAAGAAACCTCTTTATGTGAAAGGTTTAATAAAGAATAGGAAAAGATTTTGTAGCGGAAAGGCCATTTGGACACTTGGCCGAAGATTTGGGTAAATTTTACGAAAACCCCCTTTACGTTTGGCTGATTTTGAGAAAACTCCTCAAAACTTTAAAAATATATCACTTTGCTCCATGAACTTAGGGTGTTCCAGGAAACACCCAAAAGGTTTGTCAGTTTTAAATAATACCTCGATGGTGTTCGCTGAGATGATTAATTAAAAAAACAAAAATACTCTTTTCAATTAACATTCTAATTATTAAATAAATCAATCTAACTAAATCCTAGAGCTAGAGGGGAGTTATCTCAAAATTGGGCAAAGCTCAGGAGGTATATGAAATTTACCCTTGAAATTATTGAAAATGACTTGATTTAGCTGACAAAGCATAAGGGACTTGAGTAACATTTTTAAATTTTAAGATGGTTATCTCAAATTCTACCAAACTTAAGGGGATTTTTTGTGGAATTTACCGCTAGAACTATTTTGAAGTCTATAAACCTGGAAAATCAAATTGATTACAAATTAATAGTTCAATTAACAATCATAGATGAAAGGTCTTTTGTTGAATTTTCGAATATGAGGATTTATTGATGCTAGTAGCTAGTATAAAAGAAGAGATTTTCTTGTGATTTAATTATACCCATTTATAGTCATATAAAAACAGTTTCTTTTATAAAGTAAAAAAAAATCGAAACTTTTTATCGATCACCAACATAATATTTTATCCAAATATAGATATCTCAACAGGTGTCCAAAAATACAAAGGGCTTTCCTGAGAAAAATAAAATAAAATATACACACATGAATACGATTTCCTATAATTCATCTTATTTTAGTCTTAGTTACAAGTTAATACCTAAAAAATGAAATTTTGGGTGACTTTAATTTGTTTGGAAACTATTTATTTTTTTTCTGTTAACTTCAAATCGTATAATCCTTAACAGGGTGAATCGACTCAGACCATTGGTAACAGGTGGAACTTTGGGTACCAAAGTTCAATTAATTAAGCCTCTCCGATTTATTATTACGACAATTAATTTATTTATTTGTTATTATACCTGCTGGGGTGGAGCCAGAACTCAAAGATCCCATGAGCACACTCACAGTTCTGCCCCTTCTTACACTCCCCGTTCTTGAACTCCGGGCAGACCACCCCCTGATAGGGGAACTTCCTCGGGTCCCTCCGCCTCGCCTTCTCCCCCCGGTGGGCGTACGGGCACTCCGTCCAGTCGTGAGCCCGTGTCCTCGGGCACCTCTTCACCTTGTAAGTGTACATCAAGAACTCGTCCATCTCGTCGTTGCTCGCGTGCTGGCTGCAGACTTCGAGGTACACATTGAGCGGCAGGGTCACGTCTGAGCCTGACGTTCAGCCTGAACATTTTTGGGGAGTGGAGTTAATTACTTGCTTTGGAGGGGAGGGGAGGGAGGGGAGGGGAGCGGGTGGGTACTTAAGGAGGAGGGGGGGTTTTGGCTGGTTCTGCATGGAGAGTGCTATGTGTAAAGGAGATAGGGGGGGCTTGGGTTCGGCCAACACGAGTTAATGCAACAGGGGGTACATAATTAGCTTAAGCTTTAATTTAATCCAAATCTTTTTTTAAGATGTATCGGGGATTAGTGTTACGTGAGTCTTCGACCCTGATGATAACAAGTAGACGATGGTGATGGGGGCGGGCTTTGTTCTTTGGATGGGTCCCTGCTGAGCCTTGTTCCTCGGTCCTACCAGCAATGACATCTAAGTTGTGGGGTGATTTTGCATTTTAGTACCTTCTGCTTTTTGCCTTGGCAATTTAGCACAGTTATATATAAATGTCTGTTCGTACCTTAATAAGTTGATGGAAGCTTTAACCGGAATAGGAATTTTTTGTAAAAGAATGGCTAATTAAGTTGCAAAAGAAAAAAAGAAAATAATAAAAATTCCCGTTTTGACAACCTAAATACCACAAGTTGTTTGGTATAAAAAAAAAATACCATAAGTTTCACGTTACTACCATCGATCATGGAAATGTAGAAATTTTCACGCGAATATTTATCTATATATGGTACTTACATACTGATTTTAGAGCTTTCCAACCATTATTATTTATTAAAAAATTATTAAATTTGGGACTTTCATGATGTTTTATTGTACCAAAATGCAACTTGTGATATTTAATTGTCAAAACGAGAAACTTTATGGTATTTATGTACGATTTAGCCAAAATATAGTAAGGGCATGTTTGGTTATTTCCCAAATAACCAAGAAATAGAAATGAAAACCAAGAAAACTCAAAAAATACAATTTCATCCATTTCTATCCCGAAAACTCACCCACAACATCTAATAAAATATTATTTTATCCAACAACTCATCCGCCACATCCACCACATCTAATAAAATATTATTTTTATCTAACAACTCATCCATCATATCTACTAAAATGTTATTTTTATCCACAACATCACTCATCTCATCTTATCATTTCAAATCACTCACATCATCCAATAAGATGGTGACAACTCACCTCATCTCATTAACATTTCATTTCCACCCATTTCCTCCCAAAAAGCTAGGAAAACAATTTCCTTAAGTGTGGGTTGTTTGTGGAAAAATTTGCAGTAAAAGAAATGAAGAAAAATTAATTTGTATTCCTTTAATCTCAGTTACAATTTGATTTCCTGATTACAAAAGAGAGGAGAATTAATCTGGATTCTCCCCTTTGTTTAATTCTGGGTTCTTCACGGTGGCGATGGAGTACCTCGCTCGAATGTTCGCGTCGAATTTGCTCTCCGTTGACGATCCGAACGTCTTGATTCACTGGAACGTGGTCTTCTCCTCACGATTTGACGTTGTGGAGGACTTGCGTGATAAGTTTAAAACTCTTGATGAGTTGATTGATCTTAACCGTAATTGGTTAGACAAGCCAAGGATCTCTTCTTTGCTGCCAAGGAGAAGGATCCAAAAGCCAGCCCCAGGATCTCTTAACTAAGCTGATTTCTTAGTTATTTATAAGGGATTAAGGGGTATAACCACCTCCTTAATTCGCTCCTAAGTGGGGCTAATGGAATGTAACCGCCCCTTAAATCACTCCTGAGTGGAGTTGTGATCCCCTCAGATCGTGGAAAACGGTTTTGAAACCGTTCAGCTCGTATTTGAACAAGTCAAACGTAAAATCCGCGTTCTGGCATGAATTCTGCATTCAAACGCAGTGTCTGGAAGCTTGTTTGCAGCGTCTGAAAGCTGCGTTTGTAGCATTTGGAAGCTGCATTTGGCAGCGGATGGAAGCTGCGTTGGCAGCTTCCGGAGGCTGCGTTTGCGGTCGAACATGAGCTGCGTTGGCAGCTAGATCTGAGCTACGTTTGCAGCGTTTGGAGCTGAATGTGAGTTACGTTTGCAGCCAGGTTTGACCTGCGTCCGCGGTCGAATTGGTGTTGCGTCTTGATGATGGTACGTGGGGAGGACTTTCATGTCTTGGTTTGAAGAGACCGTCGATTTGTAGTCTCTTTCTGTCAGAGCGTTGCAAAGATCATCGTTTTGTAATCTTTGCTTTAACTCTTTGATATGTGAGAGTCGTCAAATTATAACTCTCGATATTGATTGTGAAGGTTGTTGATTAGAGCTTTCATCGGTTGTTGTGAAGGTCGTCAGATTGTAACCTTCATCGATCTACGTGAAAGTCTTCAAATTATAGCATTCTGAAAGTCGTCAGATTGTAACTTCCATCATTGGTGTTTAATGGAGAATCAGCTATCTATTGTGATTTTTAGACAGCCTACATGTGTCACATCATCCAATAATATAATGATAACTCATCTCATCAAATCTATTTTCTTATTTTTAAGGATGAACCAAACAAAAGAAAACAACCTATTAAAAGAAATAGATTTCTTATAATTCATTTCCTTATTTTTTTTTCACCAACCAAACAACATCAAAACAAGTTTTCTTAAAAAATCACTCACATCATCCTATAATAAGGTGACAACTCATCTCATATCATCTCTATTTCTTTGATTTTCTTCTTTTTTTAGCAAACCAAACACTCCCAAAATAATTCTTCTTAGAAATAGTTTTCCATTCCTTTGATTTCCCACTTTTTTAGGCAAACAAACAGACCCTAAAAAGGTACCACAGAAAAGACTCTACGCAGAATATAGGGAGAATTAATTAAGAACATAATATATATGATATATATGATATATATGATACTATCAATTTTAAATAAGTATAAACATATACAAAAGCAATATAAACAGTATAAAACAGTCAATTAAAAATTAGTTTTAGCAGTATAAGCATGTTTGGTGGGAAATTGAAGAAGACAATTGAGAATATGATTTATTGTATTATCTCTCTAACTGGCTTAGACAAAGAATGAATACAATTCTTTCAATACAATTTCTCTCTAACTAACTTTTAAAAAAAATTACAATCTTTTTGTATCGGAATCCCGATTTACAAAAGAGAAGAAGATCGACGGAAATCCTCCCCTTTGTTTAAGTGCGGGTTCTTCACGGTAGCGATGAGATGCCTCCATCGAATGCTCGCGTCGAATTTGCTTCTCGTTGATGATCCGAACATCTTGAACTCATGGAATACGGTTGAATCCTCTTGATTGATGTCGTGAATAACTTGCGTGACAAGTTTGAAACTCTGAACGAGTTGATAACTCAGAGCGAGTTTAAACTCTTGAAAAAGAGTTGATTTGAACTGAAAATCGGTTAATAACCAAGGATGAAAGCTCCCTATTGTTGAACATCGCTGAAGGATGAACGTCGATCTCCCCTTTTGCGATTTTATGCCAGAAACCGCTCAATGGTCTCCGATCTTGATCTGCCCCCAAAAAATATCCTCTCCCCAACTCTTCTGAGTTTTGAGGTATTTATAGGGGGATTAAGGGGTGTAAATGCCTCCTTAATTCGCTCCTAAGTGGGGTTGTAATCCTCTTAAATCGTGGGAAACGGTTTTGGAACCGTTCAGCTCGTGTTTGAACGAGTCAAACGTCGAAAATGGCGTTCTGGGCCGAACTCTGCGTTTTAAACTTGAAACGCAAAGTTGGGCCTGTTTTAGGATGAAAACACCGTGTTCGCACAGCGTTGTAAATCCAAAACGCAGAGTTGGGACGCAGAGATGAACTCTGCGTTTTCAACTGGAACGCTAGGGATGACCTCTGCGTTTTGAACTTGAATGTTGGGGATGAACCTTGCGTTTTGAATCTAGAACGCGGGCATGAGCTCTGCGTTTTTTGAATCTGGGACGCAGAGGTGAGCTCTGCGTCTGGATTTGAAGAGACCGTGAATTTGTAATCTCTTTTGCTAGAGCGTTGCAAAGACCGTTATCTTGTAATATTCGTCTTGGCTCTTTGGAAATATGAGAGTCGTCAGATTATAACTCCCGATGTTGATTGTGACGGTTATTGATTAGAGCTTTCATTAGTTGTTGTGAAGGTCGTCAGATTGTAACCTTCATCGATCTACGTGAAAGTCTTTAAATTGTAGCCTTCTGGAAGCCGTCAAATTGTAACTTTCATCATCGGTGTTTGATGGGGATCAGCTATCTACAGTGATTTTTAGACAACCTACAAAACATCAACGAACTTTAACACTAAACAGATATATAGTTATGTGTCCCCGAATAGCATTGCTAACATTGATGCAGTAAACGTTCAAAGCATTAGTTATGATTTGAGAATGATAAGATTTGAACTTTGATTATTAATAGCTCGAATGTGTGTTACATCAATGATATACCAGTCAACATCGTGAAGCGAACACTAGCTTCCTTTATTCCCTTTGAAATCGGCATCGATGCCCATGTAAATGTCTCTCTATGAGTTTATGTAAAGAGCTTTCTACATTCCCTTTGAAATCGGCATCGATGCCCATGTAAATGTCTCTCTATGAGTTTATGTAAAGACCTTTCTACATGATTATTTTTCCTCAAATTTAGTTTATAGTCCGTATAAACTATAAAGTACGAGGTTGCAAATATATAGAATATTCAGGTGCAAAGTAGAAATAAACATGAATTTTGCAACGTTGACCAAAAAGATACCAACTTTTTTCAGGGTGATTAGATACATGGCTATAAACATACACATCTAATCCATCCAATAACAAACGAGATTATTAAACGATCGCTAACGTGGCAATTCCGAAAGAACGAATCTGGTGTGCGTATTAGAAAACCGAACAGCAAAAACTGTGACAAAATGGCAAACGCACCCGTGGGGTCCGGCTAAATTTAGGAAGTATGGATGGACACGTGGTATGGAGTTGTTGGGTCTGTTAGGTGTCGCGACAAAACCCCCCACAG